TCTTTTCATCGTTTAAATTCCTTTAATTGGCCGGATAGCACTGGTTGTGGTAGAGGCGAAATTATCTACGGTTCGTCGTTACTGTCTTATTTATGTGCTTCGATATGTATATATATATATATATATATATATTGATAAATAATACTATGAAATTTAACTCTTTAGATTATATCACAGATTATCAGAGTCCGATGCTCCTGGCAATGTTGCGCCAACGAGTTTGAGACCATCAAGTCGGTGGTCGAGCGACACTTGCAAGCGTTATGAGCGATACGCCCGCACGGGACGAGATCGTTCTACGGAGTAAAAGTCATAAAATGTTTGCATCGCTGTTCGTCATCGGTAGCTTCTACAGTAGGACTGGTATTGACAATTTCTATATTTTTCAACTCCCTAATGCAGCAGTTTGCCGTCTGTCGCCACCCCTGCTGTACCTTGTCACCTGTCGTACCTTCTTCTTGCTCTGCGTTACTTGGGTCCCCTTTAGTGTGGGCATTTCCTCGTCCAACATAAAGTATTGGGAGAATGGTAAAATAATTTTAGGATGCTAAATAGTATATCTTTCTGCATATGGAGGGCTATTGTCGAGGCGCGTCCCGCTTTCGTTCAGGATCCACCGCACGTCCGTCCTTGTTCTCTGGCTGGAGCTGGTTAACTACTTGCGGAAAAAGAGCACGCGTTCGATGCCAATTAGTGGCGACTCGAATAACAACGACATGACAAACGAAAACGAGTAGGTAACGACGATGTTACCTAGGGCGAAATAGGTCAACAGTGATGGAGAATAATCGAAGACGCTCTCCCGTGATCCATAAAAAATTGCCATGATTACGGGATGAATGATGTACGCGCTGTAGGTAAGCCTGCTGAAGGGGACAAATCCTTTCCATGATAGGATCGAATTGACGAAGCCTCCATGACCGGACAGGCAGGCCAAGACGATCCAAGTCAAGCCAACAGACCACAGAGTTCTTGAGCAGGCGCCGTACAGAGCTGCAATAGCTACAGGAGGCAAAGACACGCCGGTATTGGCATTCCACATGGCATAGAGAACTACCAACATGCCAGTTACGGTGCCAATCCAACCGAGGATTGTCGTGCGTCGGCTGAATTGCAATCGCCCATTACTCTGGTGAATCACGTAACCGGTCACCATACCAACAAGGTAGGGGCCGATCCGGCAATACGGCTTGATGTAAACATTTGAAGAATATCCATTTAAAAGCTCGAGAGGACTGAAATCAGAAAAGTTGAAATGACTAATTAGATTCAGACGAGATGAGCTTATTGCTATCGATGAGGCTTTTTATGCTCAGATACAGCTAATGGCGAGAATGGCTAGTATATGTATCCACGCATCACACTATGGCATCGACTGCTAAATAAAGTATTATCTATATGTTGGATACGTTTGTTCTCTTCTAACACTTACACAATGTTGGAGATGTACGGCATCGCCGGGTAACTGTTTACCGCAATGATGATAGCAGTTGCAGCGATCGATGCCAGTCCCAAGAACGTAATTAGCAAGAGGCCGAACGTGCGGTTCTTGTATAGCACCAGCAGAATGATCGGCGAGATAATATAGAATTGCATGTCGACCGCCGAGAACCACGTATGATTCAAGCACATTTGAGGTGTATTGATGAAGTTTTGCAAATAGAGTGCATTAATCCACCAGTTCTTCTGACACGTCATATCATATGTTGAAATTGATTCTGCCCATCGGGGTCCTCCACCGATGTACGGCAGAACATTGGCACACAATCCGATCACGACCAGCATCAAAGGAGTCATACGCCAATAGCGATGAAAATAAAACATGAAAATATTGATCTTCCCCTCGGTCTGATCCATTTTGCTGAAGGTGACATAGACGACGAGAAGGCCCGAGATGAAAAAAAAGGTGTCTACCGACAGAGTTCCATTAGCGATGCCTTGGCTGATGATGTCAGCAGGAACGACCTTCATAACATCGGCATTACGGTAAGTGACCCACTGCTGGGCAAATGAATAGGAGTGGCCGAAGATGATCCACAGCATGCTCCAGAGACGGAGGCCATGTATCGACGTTATCCCCTCGTTGCTGTTCCCCGTGTTTAAAATCTTCCCACTGTTCTCAAGTACTGAAAATGACATTAACAAACGGCCGATAGCAGACCTGCGGACCTTCACGGGTGCCATGAGGGGGTCGGTTGAGCCTGCGGTTGCTACCACGTCATTGGGCGCACTACACGTGTCTCTGCTGAATTGATAGAACGTGCCAACGCCGGCGAGAGTTACAAAGAATAACACAGCTCCGGTCATCATGATCGCTTTGCGATCGGCACTGTATGTGCTACCTGTGTCCGAGCAGGAAGTGCTAACCACTTGTGTTCCGACAACGACATCTTTAAGCGCTGCAAATCATCAATAACAGAAGAAATTATTAGCATTTGATCAAAGGACTTGTTCTACAGCATAAGTAAGCACTGGCTTCTTTATCGCTATTTCCCTGCACTGAAGTTAATATGCACGATCACAACGGCGATCGTGGTGCTGGATTGACGCAAACCAATACCAGTTGCGTGGTCCAAATCCGAGGTACGTATTTATATCTAGGTTAACACTCACTCGCTTCGACAAGCCCAGTAATGTCCTCCGGCGAGCAGAGTGAGGGCACACACAGGCCGATACGCGCGATCTGGGCGTCAATTGTCTTTTTCCAGATGATGTCCGGGAGATACTGTAACAAACAGACGGGAATAATGCACAATGTCAGTAATCATTCTTTTAAAGTTGAAAACACTGCCCACATGGACAGTGGTGGCGCAGTGTGACTCATTTTGGTACTGGCGCGCTTCGACAATAACAATGAAGCGTCGCAGACATGGCCGTTAGTTACTTTCAGTAATAGCAGCAGTAGTAATCTACGCTCAGTGTTCACTCTGCGTTGACGAATGATGTTAAACGACTGCCTTTATAATCAGCAGCAGCAGCAGCAGCGACAGCAGCAGCAGCTGAGCGGCAGATGGCTAGTCAGCCAGATTGTGAAAAACGGATCTAGCGGCCTTGCGTCATTAATGCGGTGCGCCGCTTGCTAACGACAACTGGTAGTCCCGATGGGCCCACAAGGTGACAAGATGCGTCTAAGCTGTTGTCGTTGAAGAAGATAAAAACAAATACGCGTGTTATACGACTACTGCTGGAATTGGCTAATGATATAACGATAGCACAAGTATAGCAGGGAGGCCAAAATGATAAGATGAAATAGTACCATTGTAATAGTAACCGTAAAGTTTAGACTTACTTACCGCTGAGCCTTTGTCCGTTACATGGGCCACGTTGAGAGTTGCCATGCAGTATCGGCTAACGAACGGAGGTTGAAAATGTGACTCAATCGGACTAGGCACGGCCTGCAGGCATTCCGAATAGGAACCGAGAAATGAGAAGCCACCCGTCAGGACACCGTTGTCGGGCCGACCCGTCGAGTCGAACACTATAAAGCAAAAGGAAAATCAAGACAATGAAACGAAAAGACGAGGAACTGGTATCGTCAAGAACAGTGGGCGGAGGTTAACCGACATAGCCAACTAGATCGAATAGTAACTGTAACAAGTACTCTTTTACCCTACTGACTCCACGCTATCACATGGCTCGCTCGTATAGTTTACATATGTTGAAACTATCCTTATATTATAATATTGAGGGGGCAACAAAAACGTTTATAGCTATTGTACGGACATTATCTGTAATAGCGCACTTTTTCGCTTTACCAGCGGTTTCCATAACATTCCGGACTATCTATATATAAGCAAAAGTATAACTTCCTTAATTTGAAACGTCCCGGTCAAGCGATGTTTGTACTACCATTATAATTGCTACTGCTGCTGCTGCTGCTGTTGCTACGACGAATGAACACCGAAGTAGTGAGAATTCGAGACGAGGAAATGAAGAAGCGCACCAGCCGTAGCAGCGGTGGCACCGGTCAACTGCGGCTGCCAGGATTACTACTACTACTACTACTACTACTACTACAGTTATATGTAGTTAACGCTGGTTTGCAACGATGGCCGAAACGACGGAGGCTGTTTTGGCGGCAACATCGACCATTTCTACATGACGAAGTGGAGCGCATTTGCCGCCATCGTCCCAGATCCATCACGAGGAAAGCAAACGGCAATGGCGATTGTTGCCTTGGTATCACATCAGCGGCGTCAGCGCCAGCCCACCCCAAACGCCACTCTTGCCAGAGAATAAACCAGAAATAAACCAGAAGAAGATGCCCAGTTTTGCTAGAAGGTTATTGATCCGAACGGCTCGAAGAAGACGGAAGCGGCAAAGCAATGGAAAGAATCAAAAGAAATGAGGCGGCCGACTGTTTCAAATAAGTACTAGTAGTGGCGGGGTTAGCACTAGCGGCGAGAGGCAGACAAATAGTAGCAGCAGCAGCAGCAGCAGCAGCACTGCCGAACCGACAAGCCACAGTCATAGTGGAAATTGTTCGGCGTCGTCACAGTTTTTCTAGCAGAAAGACGACGACGACGACGACAATAACAACAACTGCACCGACGCCGCACAAACAGCGACAGCAATGGCGGTGGCCGCTGCCTCGACTGCTACTGCAGCAGCAGCGTCCGTAGGCACTACCGTGTCGGCAGCGGGCGGCCATCGCTGAAAGTGAAAGTGAGACGATGAAATCGATTAGATCGCCAGACTACCATTACTCCAGAGCACTCTCTTCCTTCCCATTCAGCCCCAGCTTACAGAACCCCTTCTCCGTGTGATTCCCGTCCGGTTTGGCCATGGACGGACACGAAATTGGATAAGCGACGTTCTGCACGCGAGACCGTGCGAGTTCCAGAGAAAGCGAGAAAAAAAGAGACAGATTCACATCGTCGCAGCCAGAATGCTTGACTGATAGACAGACAGGCCGACAAACCTGCACACAAATGTATGCCACTGGAATGTAGGCAAATGTCGAATTTCTGCCGATCTGCCGCTTAGCTGCAAATCGAAGCGAACTTTTCTTGGCGTCTTCATCGTCGCCGCCGCGGCGTCCACTTCTTGCGTGCGCATGTCCACTTAATCTGTGCGGTGGTCTGCCCTACAAATTTCGCCCTACACTAAACTGGGTAAAATGTGTGACAGCACCGACTGCAAGTGACGAGTTTGCAATAAGAACGCTCCCCTAACCAGACAGGCACACATACAGGGCCGCTCACACTGACGCATATTTACACAGATAATAGAATTGGTGGTCGATTGAACGTTGTCGTTTCCGACAGGTACGTTATGCTGTCGTCGTCGTTGTTGTTCGGTATATTCGTTGATTTTGTCTGTACAGCGCCAGCTGAGAAGTACAGAGCTAACAACGACGGCAGCCGCTGCTGTAACTCACTTGGGTCGACGTGACTGGCCGCCGAGGTATCGTCCTACGACCAGACGCCCGCCCGAACGCCCGCCCGCCCGCCCGCCCGCTTGCTTGTCTGTGCGTTGCTAAAAGCGACCGAAACATGGGAGCGGCAACGACAGTAACAGCAATAGCTCTGTTTCACGAATCGTAGGAACTCATGTTGAATTGAATTTAATTGCATCTGCTAATGCTGCTGCTGTACTACGAAACAGCCAGCTACTAGTGGCGTCTGTTACTGTTGATATTGGTGTAGGTGTGGATATTAGCGTTAGTGTTGATGCTAGCAGCGCTGACAAGCCAGTGCGCGCGACCGCGTGACGATTTGTTGAAATGAAGGCACGAAGTCAACGACCTCTTCTGCAACAACTGCAGCAAACGATGCAGAAGCCACATGTAGCTTTCGTGTAACAATAGTGGCCCACCAGCCTAGTGCCACTCGGCACTGCTATCACACTAAATGTTAATATAATAGAATGTCAGCAATGGCCAGCAGCGTTTGTCTGTGTATTTGTAATTGAATGGTATACACCGAGGATAAATACGTATTCGTATTATAATAACTATAATACAATCAGCAGTCTGTCTATCAGGACTCTTAGACGTAGCCGGCTTGCTAGAGCAGTTACATATTGCGTTCACTCATCGACGACACCAGGAACAGTAGCATTCTGCGGCGACTTTTAAGCTGAAATTGATTTTATCCTCCCTCGTCAATCCCGGCGCCTCGCCCCACCCCCACCGCCACCATCAGCTCATATCGCATCACTAGGTTTCAAAATCGATCTGGTCACCAAGCCATTTGAACGGATTGACAACTCCACATTGATCGCAAATGGAAACGCGAGAAGAAGCTTTACAGCGTTCGGGGCGCTCCCGTCACCGTGACGCCAAATAATCTGCAGTCTATAGGCCTCACGTGGAGATTGCAATCGCATACTGCCCTTCTTTTTGACGGAATCACAGATTCTTCTGCGAAACCGCACAATGTGCCATTGTGCTCTTTAGCACAATGTTGTACTCTGTGATTCGTACCCTCTCTTTGCCTACTATTCAGTTCTACTTCGGCAACTACCAAAATGCGCACTACACAACAGGCTTAAGTACATAGTTGTCCAAGCTCTGAGCCTGCTTGACGATCTCTTCGCTCTTTCATCACTCTTTGCCCCCTATTCAAAGCACTTCCGAAACTGCATGGGTCATTTGCCTGCTCGCGGTAAGACCCATGATACGTACTCGAAGGTTAGCACGAGGCGAAATCCCCTTCCCGTCTGCCTCCTCCCAAATGCCTCTAGCCTTTACGTTTCATTCTTCGTATTCCTTTCCTCAGAACTCAATGGGTACGAGGTATTGTGCTGCTATTAACCGAGTACACACAGAACACCCCCACAGCCAGGTTCGCCACCATCTTCGTACAATCGAACTTCTATGTGCTGGTATCTCCTAGTATGACCGATATGCTGGCTTCGGCGTCATCTCTTCAAATCTACCGTCTGTCTACCCTCTGCGATTCGCCAATCGCTGGGTGTGCACCTCACAGTGGGACGCTGTGTTTGGTTGTGGAGCTGGTTTATTGTGGGTGATGTCGCTGCGTATATTTGCCTGTATGTATATGGGTGTCTATGCGTGCGTGTGTATGTGTGTGTGTGTGTGTGTGTGTGTGTGTGTGTGTGTGTGTGTGTGTGTGTGTGTGTGTGTGTGTGTGTGTTTGTTTTATGCGTGTGTTTTCAAAGTGAAAGTCACCACAAAGCGGGAGCAATGACCGTCCGCCCGCCCATTCCGCAGCGTTAACCAGCTTTGGCTGAAGTTGCTGCTGAAGTTCTTGTCGTTGTTGTTGTCGACGTCGTTGTTGATAGCGTCGATGGTTGCCGTTCGCACTTCGTGCGTTGCTGGTCTCGGTGGTGCTTCTGCTGCTTTTGCTCTATGTTGGACCTTTTGCCAGTTCGGAAAGCGACGGCTCTGGATTGTAGATCAGCAATAGTCGGCTTTCAAGCAAACGGCTGTTGTCGTTCAGGTTTCGCTTTCTTTCAACAACGATTGCAGTATTGCCGTCGATTGTTGTCGTCGTTAATTACTGCTGTTGCTGCTGGTACAGCTTCGTTTGCAGTGTAGCCCCTTAGCCGTCGTCGGGGTAGTCCCCCAGTCTGACGCCGACCAGTCGGGACCGCCCCGAACCTCATCCATCTGCTCTCTTTTTCTTTGTTCATATAGAAGCGGGCTGCTTGCACGATGGCTAGCGCGCGCAAAGTTGCACATAGAGTCGTAGTGGCTAGTAAGTATTCGATGTCCACGACGACAACAAGAACGACGACGATGATGATGACGACAAATTGTACCTGAACCGTACCAGCTCGCAGTCCGCCGGTAAGCTCTGGTCCCATTGTAACACTTTGCAGTGTGCGTCAGCATATGTCTATATGTTGAAGTGCAAACGAGAGGCGTTATGTATGACGTTGTGGCACGGCACGACGTAAACTTAAACGTCACAGAGCTATTGCTCTATAGAAAGAATCCCTGCTCACATCTACTTAATCGGTAAGAGCCAACCGCTACCATCACTGCCACCTGTCTATACATCTGCCCATTTGCTCTTGGTCTGTCTGTTTGTCTATCAGTGTGATGTCTGCAATGCCATATCCGTGAATCACTCTGTCCAAACCAACACAGTCGCCGCTGCCGTAGCTAGGCGTCGGATACTGGCGATGATGGCGGTGACCAGTCGCTACAACACTGTGATTAGTCATAACTGAAGAAGAGAAATTGGCTGGCCGTCATCATGACCGCTGCTCGAACTGCTGCTGCAGCAGCCGCCGCCGCCGCCGCCGCCGTCGTCGTCGTCGTCACTGCCGCAGTTGTGTGGTCTTGATGCTGAAGGTGCGATCCCGTATAAAGCAGCGCCTCCGCCGCGCTTCTATGCGGGGCACCGCTGCGCGCCCCATAAGCGTCTCTATCTACGTGTATGTTTATCTGAGCTCCTGTGTGTTCGTCGCTGTCCGTCTGTGCGTCCGATACACGATGTGCTAGTTGTGCCTGATATCAGACGTAACGTTGTGCCGCCGCTACGACCGGCCGAGTGATTGACGGTA